TTGAACCAAACTAGAAAGTGAAATTAAGGCTACTGTAGGAGAATGCCTCAAGCTTTTGTGGGCTTTAAGCGCCCTCTAGCTTAGGAATAGCTCAGCCACTTGAAAAGTTGACTTGTACTATATGTGTATCCCGGACAGGAGAGAAGAGCCACCTAGTGGTTCATTCAGATATTGTACTCAGAGTTACCTCAAATATCTTGCCTGGATTTTTACTAATGTGACAGCCGCTTCAGTTAAAATTCTGTCACCTTCACCAAGTATGATGTCACGGTGGAGAAAAAAGAAGCAAAATCCACCCTGAACAACCACTCTGTCTTTTCTTTGATAAATAATAAATTTAATAAAGCAAAATAAAATCTAATAAATAAATCTAATAAAGCAAAAATAATTATTTTTCTTATCCTTTGCTCTTCACAAAATGAAAAAGAATGCCTTATGAACAATTGTGGGAGTTTCAACTTAAACTATTTAAATAAGCCATCAGTGCTTAAACATGGGAAATAGAAAAGAACAGAGATATGTATCCTTACTCAATTATTCCCCTTCCACACCGTATCTTCTGTCTTCCTGCCCCTGCCCCGCCCAAATTCCAGAGGGGTACAGGGTGTAGGGCTCTCTGGAGAAACAGACCATCACCTTTCTCAGCTGGACCATCTTTTGCACCTGCACTGATGCCCCACCAACCTCACTAACAACTATTTTTGGATGAATTTCTAGATATGGCTCAGTTGCTTACAGATATTAAGACCCTTCAGATGCTTTTGTTTATAGATGACATTGTGCAGACTGCAACAACCTTGAGAATATTAAAGAGCTTCCTTAACAAGATGTGGTTACTCAAAAGAGAATGGCTTAATAATCTATTCAGATTATGGATATAGTAGAAAACTTATCACCTATACTGTGACTTGGAATTGGATAGCCCAAAGAAAAATAAGCATCAGCCAAAGGAAAGTTACTTCATTAGTTATGGCAATGTTCTTAATGAAGATTAAACTAAAGATGCATGTTTTCAAATACTCCATAACACTCCTGAGTGAGCATATCAGTATGTAGATCTGAAGTTGGCAATGACAATGAAATGGACAATAAATTGTGTTTCAGAATTTTATAGCAAGAAGAGAATGGGATGGATTGGTTTTGGACAAGTGCACGATGCTTTTCATGGTCTCATACTGATCTCCAGTACAAGGGCCAACGTTCAATATGAACATTCTTCCTGAAGCGCTGCATGGTTGTGAAGCTTGGAACGAAATGTCCAGAGAATCAAAGTTATAGTGAGCAAAAGCGTGATGGAGAGTATACATGGTAGGTATCAATAGGCGGCAGCATGTTTCCAGCGGTGACCTGCCTGCAAGAACTGGCCCCAGTCCTTTCCAATTGGCTGAGGTGCCCGTGAGGAGAGCTCTAAGCAGCCATGGTGCCCAGCCGAAATGGCATGATTCTGAAGCCCCAGTTCCACAAAGACGAGTTGCCACATGGTTTAACCAGCCATCCAGGAAGATCAGAAGGTGAAAGGCCTGTCAAGCAAACGCACATCCAATTGCTCCTCACCCTGCATCTGGTCCTATCCGGCCCATTGTGATACCGCACCAAAGTACATGCTGATAGAGGATTCACCTTGGAAGAGCTTCGGGTGGCTGGTATCCATAAAAAAGTGGCACAGACCATTGGTATCTCTGTGGACCCTCATTGCCGAAATAAGTCTACAGAGTCTCTCCAGGCAAATGTGCAGCAGCTGAAAGAATATCGTTCCAAACTGATCCTTTTCCCAAGGAAACCATCTGTGCCCAAGAAGGGAGATAGCTCTGCTGAAGAACTCAAGTTGGCAACCCGGCTTACAGGACCAGTTATGCCCATCAGAAATGTCTACAAGGAAGAGAAAGCTCAAGTCATCACTGAAGACGCAAAGAATTTCAAGGCATTTGCTAGTCTTCGAATGGCCCGGGCCAATGCCCATCTCTTTGGAATCCAGGCAAAGCGAGCCAAGGAGGCTGCAGAGCAAGATGTGAAGAAAAAATAAACAGTCTCTGAGCACTTTCAATATTTCAATAAAATCATACAAAATTTAAGAAAAAAAAAAAAGAACTGGGCCCAGGGAGCCCATTGAGGAACTGCATGATAAGAAAAGGAGATGGGCATATAGTAAGAGCCAAGGATAATAGATGGTCAACCAGAATATTCCACTGGTACCAATGGAATATAAAAAGTACTAAAGGAAGATCTCTAGTCCATTGATGGATACTTTGTGGAGAATCTACAGTTGGTTGTTGGTGGTTGGCTCTTGTCCTTTGTTCTCAGAGGATCAAAATGACATCATAGTGTGTCCAGCTGTGGCTGATCAGACCACTAAGAGCTCAGAAGCCTGTACCACAGGCTGGGCACAGATAGTCCACATGAACATTTGGAGTGAAGATGTCTCTGAATTTGCTTTTGAGCTACTGCAATTCTGTTTTGCTCACAGAGCGCAGTGCCTTCTTTGATGTGCCATTCTGGGTGGTCCTTTGCCAGTGTCTCCCATCTCACACGATCAATTCCAGAGTTCTTCAGAGAGACCTTGACAGTGTCCTTGTATCGCTTTTTCTGACCTCCATGTGAGCACTTGCCTTGTGTGAGTTCTCTGTAAAATAGTCTTAGGCAAATGAACATTTGGTAGCCCATCAGAGTCGCTCTCTCTCTCTCTCTCTCTCTCTCTCTTTTAGGCAATTGGGGTTAAGTGACTTGCCCAGGGTCACACAGCTAATAAGTGTCAAGTGTTTGGTCTGAAGTTGGATTTGAACTCTGGTCCTCCTGACTTCAGGGCTGGTGCTCTATCCACCGCACCACATGACTGTCCCCAGAGTTGCTTTCTCGGCAGTAAAGTTTGAATGCTTGGCAGTTCAGCTGCAGAAAGGACCTCACTGCTCCGTACCTTATCTTGCCACATGATCATCAGAATCTTTTTAAGACAATTCGAATGGAAGTGATTCAGTTTCCTGGCATGGCATTGGCATACTGTGTAGGTTTTACAGGCATGCTACAATAAGGTCGGCACAACGGCTCTGTAGACCTTCAGTTTGGTAGATAGTCTAATATGTCTTCTGTCCTACGCCTTCCTTCAGAACCTTCCAAACTCTGGCAATGCATGGTCAGCCTTATCATCTTTTTTTTTCTTTCATCCAAAGACAAGGTTTATTAGAACATCCGTCATATTGGACAAACTCTTAAGGAGTCTGAACATTAGTAAACCGTGGCTAGATTATAGGAATCTGAGTCGTGGCTAGATTATAAGAATCCCAGCACCTTAATGGAGACAAGATGGACCTTATATACAGAAAGCCTGTGGGAGGGACCCAGGAGTGACCAGTAAGCTGGGGTGAACAGAACTCCTGGGATCTGGACCTCATAGCCAAGGCAGAATGGAGCCTAGCTAGGATTAAGGGTGGAAAATGGTTGGGGGCGTTAGGGAGGTAAGATAATAGAGGGGAGATTAGGTGTAGCCACAATGAAACAGCCTCATCATCTATGTGTACATCCCGGGAAAGTATACTACCAAGGTAAGTGAACTTATCCACAGCATTCAAAATTTCTCCACTTGCTGTAACCAATGGTTCCACATAGGGATGGTGTGGTGCTGGCTGGTGTTAATTGTTAAGCCAAAATTAGCATAGGCAGGAGAGAATCAATCTACACTCTGTTGCGTCTCGATTTCAGAGGCTGCATTGAGTGCATGGGCAAAAAGGATGCAGGATGAGGACACATGCATGGACTATGACCTGCACTGATGGAAGGAAGACTCTTAACAATAGAGGTAAGAAGACTTGAACAGGAATATCCTTTTGGGGGCAGCAAGATGGAATTGTAGATAGGGAGCCCTTAACTTGGAGTCAGGAAGACTTGAGTGCAACTCCTGCATAAAAACACTTAGGAATGGTATGACCCTGGACAAGTCATATAACCTCTGTTTACCTCAGTTTCCTCATCTATAAAATGAGAATAATAATATCACCTCATACTCCCAATAATATCACCAAATTCCCGTGATATTGTAAGAGTAAGGTAAGATAATATATGTAGATCTCTTTGCAAACCTTAAAGTGGTACATCAATGTATTAAAAAGTGGTATGTCATTATTAAAGTAGTGCATCAATAAGTATTATTTTTGGGGGGCTAGGCATTGGGGTTAAGTGACTAGCCCAGGGTCACACAGCTAGTAAGTGTTATGCGTCTGAGGCCGGATTTGAACTCAGGTCCTCCTGAATCCAGGGCCAGTGCTCTATCCACTATGACACCTAGCTGCCCCAATAAGTATTATTTTTAATAGCATCATCATCACCATGCCTTTCCAAGCCTTCTTGAGATCTGCATTTTCTCTTGACCAGACCCAAGAATCTTGGCTTCCCACAGTTCTAGATGCTCACCGTAATTCACAGAGCCTGCTTTCCACCCAGTGTTTAGACGAAGGGGATCCTACTCCATGACTGGCATGAGTTCTACCCCCCCCTCCCCGGGATATAATAATAATGACACTAAAACAACGATATCAATAACAATATCGGCATTGAGATGTGATGAACAGAGAGCTTGGCCGCAGAGTCAGGAAGACCTGGGTTCCAATCCTGCCTCTGACACATCCTGGCTGTGTGGCCCTGGGCAAGTCACTCAACCTCTCACTGCTTTAGGCTACTCTCTAAGAAGATATGTTGCAGCTAAGATGCTGATTGCATTGGTAGAGGGAATTTCTTCTGAAAGTTCCCTGTGCCACAGTTTACAAGTCTATCTCCTATCCCCATTATTAATTAGAATCTCTACAATAATAACTCAAATTTCTATGGTCCTTTAAGAGCAACAAAGCATTATCCCCACAATAACACTGGGGTAGATATTATTCCCATCTTACAGATGAAGACCCAAGGTTCAAAGAGGGTAGCTGACTTGTTCACAGTCACACAGCTGGTAAGCATAGGAACTAGTGGGTCAAACCAAATCCAGACCTCATTCTCCCGCACCAGATTGCCCATCAATTAAACAATAACTGTTTATTGAGTCTCTCAGATACGTCCAGTCAGGAAGTGGAATCAGGGGTTGGGAGATTAGACTATGGCTGGGAGTACAGGGGTCACAAAGGGATGCAGGGGGTAGTAGTGCTGTAGGAGTAGGGGTGGGAGAATCTGAGAATGTGTATACATGGGACAAAGGCCAGAAGGGAAGCTGGGGAGCACAGAAGGCGACGGTAACACGTTTTCATTCATTAAGGCAGCCCCATCCTCATTCCCTCCCAGTCACAGAGTTCACCTATATCTGCAGGGACAATTTAGCAGTGAATGGACTCAAAAAGGGAAGTTTATTGTTGGGAGGAAGAGGAACAGGAAACAAATGCCTCCACTCCTCCATATTCCAATCACCCCCTAGTTTATTCAAATTTCCTCATACTCTCAAGTCCTTGTAAGGTTCCCCCAAGTCTCATCAACTCTAGAGAGATGTAGAGTGGGCACAGCCCTATGTCTGAAATCTAGGGTAGAGGAAGAGAAAGGACTTTCCTTTCTGTCCAGCTGTCTCTATGTCTCCTGGTTTCTTCCTCTGGCATCCACTGGCAGGTTTCATGTACTCCAGCTGTTTTTCTGTTTTGTTTTTTTTTTGTCGTTTTTTTTTTTTTTGCCACTGGAGGAATACTCAGTATCATACTGCCCTGGTTCCAGGGGATGGGGCAGGTGAGCCTGAGACTCTGAGAAGTAAAATCCCAGGACTAGACTTTGGCTGGAGAAACATAGCAGCCTGTTGACCTCTAGATGGGGCAGGACCAGGATCGTGGGGTAACCAGTCCCCAGAAGGTCTTCTGTGCCAGAGAAAGGAGAGTGTGAGTAAGGGCCCCTTCCATTAGGGAGGAGGTGTGGGGTGAATGGGTGTGACCCAAAAGAACTTCTTCCACTCTGAAGTGAATTCAGGCTGGCAGCGGGGAGACAAAGACCCCTTCCCCAACATGAAATCCAGTCCTAAGTGTATGAGTTTAGGGAAAGGAGCTCCATTGGCTAGAGAGCCAGTGTATGTGGGTAGGGGTGAGGGTGAGGGGGAGCGGGGAGGTCAAGGCATCTAGGAGTAGGTGTGGGAAAAGTAAACTCGCTGGTGAGAAAGATGCCTTGTCATTCACCTAGAACGACAGGTCACATTTGGGACAATCTAAGGGCCTTGGCCTGGGAAGCGAAGTAGGAAGGAGGGAACTAGGGAAATGGTCCCTTACCTGGTGGAACGGGCACTGTTTCCGGGCATACCACTCCTGACAGTACAGGGTGACCATTATTGCCTGGCCCAGAAAAAGCATTGTCCACATGAGGACATTCCACACGGACGACTCAGTGGTCTGGTCACGCATCAGGAAGTGAAGCATTGCTAGAGAGAAGAGATTAGATGAGTCTGGGATTCCATTCCCCTCACCGTTTCCCAACCTGCTGGTACTCTTTCTCCCTTGCCTTTAATTTTTCTCCCAGGTATCCCACCTCCACCTTGGGAATTGCCTCTCCCAAATCGTCCCCCTAATCATGTCTCTAACTCCTCAAGAGATATTCTCCCAGACATCCCTTCCTGACCCCAGGCACCTTCAAAACTCCTCCCCAGCCCAGAGGTATTGCTATGATATCCCTCAACAATTTCTGGGCACCATCTCCCCAAGCTGTTGAAAGACAGTGCTTGGGTTTCCCTGTGCCCCATGGAGCTTTTTCTTGTCTTCAGTCTTTTTGTCCAGGTGATAGCCTGCTAAAAGAGGTACCAGAGGGAGAGAACTCATCTCATTTCCCTTCTCTCTTCCCAATGCTGAGAAGAAAGGTTAAGGATTCTTAGCCAAGATGTGTCTCATTTAGCACAGGGCAGGTAGGTGGCACAATGCCTAGAGTCAGAAAGACTCATCTTCTTGAGTTCAAATCTGGACTCGGATATTTACTAGCTGTATGACCCTGGGCAAGTCACTTAACCCTGTTTGCCTCAGTTTCCTCATCTGTAAAATGAGCTGGAGAAGGAAAAGGCAAACCACTCCAGTGTCTTTGCCAAGAAAACCCTCAAGGGGGTCACAAAGAGTTGGACATGACTGAACAATGTCTCATTTAGTGTGAAGGATCCATTCCACCTCAGCTCTAGATCCTCATAAATGACATCTCCCACCTACCCCCCACCACTAGCTTAGAAACCAGTATTGGTATCAAATAGTTTATGTCAAATCTAAAGTTTTTAGTCTGGTGTTAAAGTCCCCTCCACTCATCCATCCTGGAAAGACAACCCAACCTCATTTCATGCCTTTGTTAATGGGATCTCTCCAGCTCAGACTTCCATAGCCATTTGGGCAAATCTACCAGAACATCTGGGACAGCAGGGTGATGCAGTGAACAGAGTGTTGGGCCTAGAGTCGGAAAGATTAATTTTCATGAGTTCAAATCTGTCCTCAGACACTTAGAAGCTGTGTGACCCTAGGCAAGTCACTTAACCCTGCCTGCTTCAGTTTTCTCATCTGTAAAATGAGCTGGAAAAGGAAATGGCAAACCTTCCAATATCCTTGCCAAGAAAATCCTATGTGGTCACAAAAAGTCAGACACAACTGAAAAATAACTGAATAACAAAAACCTGAACCTCAGATGCTCCACCACTCGGAAGCCATCTTCCCCCCAGCACTGTCTCTTTCTGCCTTCCAAACACTGCTCCACAATTTCCTCCTCCAAGAAGCGTAGTCTGATTCACCCTCGGTCTAACTGTCTATCTGTGCTACGGTGCCCTCCCAGGATTATTCCCTATGCCATTCTTATTTTCCTTTCTTGATACTTATGTCTATGCTGGTCCATTCATTGCCAGTTATCCTGACTTTGTCTTGCTGTTGGGCTCAGGGGACTCTGAAGGAGAGAGGGAGACTGATGACTTCAAGCAATTCTGCTTCACTTAAATCCAATTCACTTGTAAGTCAAGACATCACCCATGATGTCATTGCTCCTCTTTGAGAATGGAGGAGGCACAACAACTTCTCTGTGTGTGCATTAAGCTAGTAGATGGAATTTGTTTGTTTTGTTTGGTTTTTTTTTTAGGCAATTGGGGTTAAGTGACTTGCCCAGGGTCACACAGCTAGTAAGTGTCAATTGTCTGAGGCCGCATTTGAACTCGGGTCCTCCTGACTTCAGGGCCAGTGCTCTATCCACTGCACCACCTAGCTGCCCCCAGTAGATGGAATTTGGTTGATGGGGAGAAGTAGGGCAGCTCCATCTCAGTCCCTTTCTGGTCTTTTCCCTAAGGTGATTTGCATGAACCAATGGCATGATGGGAAGCTCCACATCACAGGTCCATCCAGTTGTGGTTTGGGGTGAGTTTTGGGGGGAAGTTTTGCTAAACTGAACTTCCAAAGTGATCTTCAAGGACTCAGACTGGCAACTTAAAGCATGGCACAAGATAAAATTTTCTGATCACGATTCAAAGAAAAATTGAGAACATCCCTAGGATCTTGGGAGCCCCTTCTCTTCTGCCCCTTCTCCTATCCTCTTCCTGCCCAATAAATAAAAAAGGGAAAGAAGTTTTGACCTGCCTAACAAACAATAAATCACAAGAAAAGCTGGCTCGTGGCAACGGCCAGCACCCACAGACACAAGTGACCACATAGAGACAAATTAAAAACCTTAGCAAAGTAAGTGACATGTTCCCTCTCATGCATCAATCAGATAGTAATGACTTTTCTGGGGGCACTTCTTTGCATTCCTTATACATACGCTAGCTCCACATGTGTTCCTGTCCATTCATGTTGGGGTATGATAACTTGTAGAAGAGAGTATTGGCCCTGGATTCAGGAGGACCTGAATTCAAATCCGGCCTCAGACGCATAACACTTACTAGCTGTGTGACCCTGGGCAAGTCACTTAACCCCATTGCCCAGCCAAAAACAAAAAACAAACAAACAAAAAAAAGATAACTTGTGGAAGGGACATACCACCAGGAGTATGACTAGGGACTTGTCACCTACCTTGCTATGGTTTATAATGTGTCTTTTGTACCAGGTAGCTGGTGGCACAGTGAGTAGAGTACCGGGCCCGGAGTCAGGGAAACCTGAGTTCAAATCCAGTCTCAGAAACTTCCTAACTGTGTGACTCTGGACAAGTTAGTTAACCTCAGTTTGCCTCAATTTCCTCATCTGTAAAATGGGGATAAATAATAGCACCTACTTCTTAGGGTTGTTGTGAGGACTAAATGAGGTGATATTTATAAAAGCACTTAGCATGGGGTCTGGCACATAGTAGGTGCTATCTAAATGTATATTCCCTTCTCTTCCCTTCCCTCCTTTGAACTAATGTGTCCTTGGATTGCCTGGCAAAGAAAGATGGAGGTGAGGGCTAGTGAGCCATGGTTTTTGAATGTGTCATAAGACCACAGCTTTAGAGCGAGAAGGGACATTAGAGGTCATCTAGTCTAACACCCCACCCCCAATCATTTTTATAGAAAAGGAAACTGAGGCCCAGAGAGGTGAAATAGCATGCCTGAGATTCCACAGACCTAGGATTCGAACCAAGTCCTTTGACTCCGAGTTCCACCATCTTGTTACCTACCACTTTGCTGCCTCAGACTATGGTTAGTTTTGTGTGTGTGTGTGTGTGTGTGTGTGTGTAGGCAATTGGAGTTAAGCGACTTGCCCAGGGTCACACAGCTAGTAAGCGCCTGAGGTCAAATTTGAACTCAGGTCCTCCTGATTCCAGGGGCAGTGCTCTGTCCACTGCACCGCCTTGCTGCCCTGCCATGGTTCATTTTTAAGGGACCCCTGTGTACAATAATACAAGTGCAAAGTTGAGAACTCTCTGAAGACTCCTCTTCCCTCTGGATCTCTGGCGTTCCTTCCACCTTGCATGCTCTCCATAGCGATTCACCAAGGGCACGGAAGATCTGTCACTCACTGGCCCTGGCTGTAGATGATAGGGGCTCTGCCTACCTCCAAAGAGGAAGAGAATCAGCATGACTGGGTAGAAGAATCCCAGAACAAAGGAGAAGATGTATTCATGGACCACAGCGGAGATCAGGAACACACCGAGCATGGCTGGTCCTCTCGCCCCGAGACCCAGAAGCTGGAGGAGAGAAAGAGGGCAGAGCGAGTCCCTCAAGCTGTATTCTAGCGAATTCCTCTCTCCTGAGCCCTCTCCCCATGAGAACTCCCTAAGGAAGCCAAGAGGCAAAAGTGACGGCGTCTGAAGGACTGGAGAAGAGAGAGGCATTGGACTCAATGAGAAGAACCTGGTTTCCTGATGTTGATTAGCTATGTGGTCTTTAACAATTTATTTTTCTCCTGGGCCTTAGTTTTCTCACTTCGAAAATCGAGAGACTGGGCTAGCACTAGGGTCCATGAACTTTCAAAAAAAATGTTTTGGTAACTATTTAAATAGAATGGATTTCTTTTGTAATCCTATGCATTTTATTTTCTGCATTTAAAAACATTATATGACTTGTTTATAACAGGTTTTGTTTTTCTTGCCTTCCCATTAGATGGGAGATGGGATGGGGTGAGGGAGAGAATTTGGAACTGAAAAAAAAGAATAAAAAAGACTCTGTACTTAAAAAATAAATTTGAAAAAATATCCTATGAGAAAGGGGTCCATCGGCTTCCCCAGCCTGCCAAAGAAGTCCATGGCACAAAAAAAAAAGGTTAAGAACTCCTGCACTAGATGATCTCTATGGTTCTAATTTTCTATGGTCTTGAGTCTTTTCCAGTTCCAAAGACTTGTAAGAGAAGGAATAGTACGAGTAAAGGACAGGAGGCACATGGGGTGTGGGGGTGGGTGGCCAGTGGACTAGGAACATAGCCAGCCCTTGTGTAGGGAACTGGGGGAGGGCAGCATAAGGTCCAGTTCTGACTCAGTTTTCTCATCTGTAAAATGAAGTTCTTAAAAAAAAAAAAGGAAATGGTTGAATGGTTTTTAAGGTCCCTTTCAGCTCTGACCTTTTATGAGTCAGTTCTAAAACTGAGTGAGGGATGATAGGTCAGGGAGAGAGGTGGGCTGAAGAATAAGATGTTGGATAAATAACAGCAAAGGGAAAAAGAAGTTAGAAAGCTCCAGGGACTTCCCAACAACTGAGTTGGAGGAGAGGAGTAAGTTGGGAAAAGGCTAGGAGAAAGTTCTAGGATCCTAGCCCTAGCCCTAAAGCTGAAAGGGACCTCAGAAGCTGTCCAGTGTGACCCCCTCATTTTACAGATGAAGTCTGTGGGGTCTAGGAAGATTACGTGACTTAAGTTACGAAGGCCAATCTCATTTCCTGGATGCTTGCAGGGAGATCTTCTTGGCTAGGGACATGGAGAGATCTCTCAGAAGGTCTAAGAGTTCTGGGGAGTTCTGGGAACAGGTGGTCTTGGGGCTCCCCCTTACCCGAAGTCCATCCTGGTAGATGTAGCTGTAGAGCCAATCATGGACCACCACATTCCAGGTACGAAAGAAGTTAGAGAAGGAGGTTGAGTTCCACCAGTCCTGAGGAGAGAAGGGCAGCATCAGGGGCCAGGCTGCTCAGTACTCATCAGAATGCTCTCTGACTCTGCCTTAGTGCTCCCCAGCCCCAGCGTGGCCTGCATGGATTCTCCAGGTCCCAGAATCCCCCTTCCCTTCCCTTCCCTTCACCCACCTCTGTCCCTGTGCTCCCTACAAGGCTGTGAAATAGGCAAAATCTCACCATTTTCTGGGAGATGTCACCAGAAGAAACTGAGTACCCTCCTGCATTCCTAGTTCCCTATCCAAATTTGCTCTTAGAAAAGGATCTGATATTGAAGCATACTATTTTTCACTTTTTGTATTTTTTTCATGTTTTTTTTTCTTCTTTGGGTCTGTGTTTTCTTTCACAACATGGCTAATATGGTAATATGTTTTGCATGATTGAACATATATAACGTATAACAAATTGCTTACTGTCTCAGGGAAGGGGAAGATGAGAGAGAGAGAAAGAAAATTTGAAACCTAAAATTTTTTAAATAGTGAATATTAAAAACTGTCTTTAACTCATGATGGAAAATGCTATCCACATTCAGAGAAAGAACTATGGAGTCTGAATGCAGATCAAAGCATACTATTTTTTCTCTTTTTTTTTCCTTTCTCATAGTTTTTCCCTTTTGTTCTGATTCTTTCACAACATGAATAATATGGAAATATGTTTAATATGATCCTCCATGTATAACCTATATCAAATCGCTGGCCACCTTCGGAGAGGGAAGGGAGGGGGAAAATTTAGAATTCAAAATCTTATAAAAGTGAATGTTGAAAAGTAAAAATAAATCAATTAATTAATTTTAAAATTTTGTCTTTACATGTAACTGGGGAAATTTTTTTATTATTTATTATTATTATTTTAAAAAAGGATCTGATACTAAGGTGTCAATGATTGATAAAGTTTGATAACAGTTTACTTCTCACTGTGGGATTTTGTACTTTTAATTAGGGCAGCCTTTCTGACTCCAGGCCTGGCACTCCATGCACTGGATACAGAGTTTGGGGCCTGGAAGTCAGGAAGACTCACTTTCCTGAGTTCAAACCCAGCCTCAGACACTTACTAGCTGTGTGACCCTGGGCAGGGTCATACAAGGACCTTTTTTGCCTCAGTTTCCTCATCTATAAAATGAGCTGGAGAAGGAAATGGCAAACCACTCCAGTATCTCTGCCAAGAAGAACCCAATTGGGGTCACAGAGTCGGACACAACTAAAGAAAAACAACAATTGGGGAGAAAGTCTAATTACAGTAAGAGAATGAATGAATCTCTTTTGTTTTTTTTTATGTTGATTTGTGTGTGTGTCAGAAATTCCTGGATGTACTAGGGTTGCCTGGAAAGCTAAGAGGTTAAGGGCCATAAAGCTGGGATGTGTCAGAGACAAACCTTGAACTTGGGGCTGTCTGACTCATGAACAGCTTAACAATACTCCTAGTAGGAGCAAAAAGCATTACCAAGGAGGGAGGTATTTTTAGGGAAAGAGGAGCATTCCCAGTTCCTGAAATCATACTTCTGGACGACCACCTGCTTCATTTACTGGTGGAGTTTTCTCCTTTGCTTTCACTTCTATTTCCCTCTCCCCTTCATCCTACCTACCTTGTAGAACATTCGGTCTGCAAACCGTAGCATCTCTGAAAAGGCATTGAGCCAGCAATGGAGAAAGGCAAAGAATATGAGCAGCAGCATGAAGACACCTGGGGGTGAGGGCACGAGGTCAGATCAGCCTCCTCCTCCCCTCTCCCTGGGCCATTCCATCTTCTGAGGTCAGGCCTTGTTCCACCCAGAGACTCCCTCTGGTCCTTCCCTTTTGTGGACGCTCTCTCCTTCAGTATCTCATGCCTAATGTTATCTTCTTAGTTTGTTGTTGTTGTTGTTGTTTTTTTTGGTGAGGCAATCAGGGTTAAGTGACTTACCCAGGGTCAAACAGCTAGTAAGTTTCAAATGTCTGAAGCCAGATTTGAACTCAGGTCCTCCTGACTCCAAGACCAGAGCTCTATCTACTGCACCACCTAGCTGCCCCTTATCTTCTTAGTTTTAAGAACCGCTGCTGGCTGCTCACATCCTCCCCCTCCACTCCAGCCAGAGTCTTCCCACTAGGTCAAGTGGAGTATCCTGCATCTCGCAGCCCTTTCTGCTTCCGCAGTCTCTAGGATGGACCCACCGGGCAGTGTGGCATGCAGGATGGAGAGCACCAGGGCTCGGGTGCTGAAGGGCTCACGGCTCATGTTGTCAAAGATGGGCACACAGAGTCGGCCAAGGATGAAACAGGCATAGAACACACATGCTAGGACCTAGGGAGAGGACGGAAGCATAGGAGACCATCAGCAGCTACCTTGAGAGTCCACCCAACCTGAATATCTATCTCACTTGGACCCCTAGCTTCTGAATCCTTCTCCCTGAACCCCTACTTTTTCTCTGCCCAAAGATTTCATCAGGCCTTTTCCCCATCCAATTCTCTAATACCTCCTCTTCCCCCCAACAACAGTTTACTTGCCTCCCCCCACCTCCATCACTTCTCATTCTCTGACCTGGGCAAATTTCTTGACCACATAATTCCACCTGATATGGGTTGTCCTGGAACAGTAATTGGGAGGAGTGTCACAGACTCCCCAGGAGATCTTACTTTTGAACCTCTGGAGTCCCTTTTCCCTCAATTGCTCAATTATGGGGGGGGGAGTACCGGAGGGATTGGGATCTGGGACATCTGGTGCCTTCAGGTAGAAGGAGGGATCCAGGGCTTTGGGGTAGGGTTAAGGACCCCAAGGAGAAAGGGAAATCAGAAAGATGGGGCTTTAGGCGGGATCGGGCTTTCAGAGTAGGGCAGAAAACTCACCTGGGGTAACTCTCTCTGTATATGAGTGTGGGGCAGAAGAGGAAATAGAGGTAGCTGGAGAAACTGGGAACTTGGGCTCCCTTACCTGTGGTGGTGATGGAGACAGAGGCAAAGTGAAGAAGGAAGGGTTTAGGTCACGGGAGCAAGAGGGTGCGAGAGACTAACGGATTAATAAGGGGAGAGGTGGAGAAAGACCAGACTCTGATTGGGAATCCAGTAAGAGTGGAGTAAGGAGATTAAGACTGGGAGACAGAGGACACAAGGAATGAGACAAGGGCCTCTAGGCCCTTATACCTCTAGGTATAAGCAGATGATGGCTGAAGAAGAACAGAAGGAATAATGTCTGTTCCAAGCCAATAAGTAGCAGGCAATCTTACTTTTTGTGACCTCTTTGTATCTCCCTCCCCCTCCCCTGGAGGCACTTTATCTTTGGAGGGCAGATCCTACCCCACCCAGGGCACCCTTCTGTCTTCAGGCTTCCTAGCCTTCTTCCTTTTACAGGAAAGCTGCCTCATTTATCATCTCCTGCCCAAAGTTATCTTCCTAAGAATTCTGACTGTGTCATTTTTTCACAGGGGCCTTCTGGAGGCAATGCCAACCACCTTTATCGTTTATCCCAGGGGAAAGAATGATGGTGGTAATTCTAAGTCAAGGTGGAGGTGGAGGTCCTCAGCCAGTGCCTAATGAGGGAGCCGCGTTTAAGCCGGTGTAGCAGAGACCATTGTCTGGGTCTACCTTCTTTGCCCATGCAGAAGTGATTGTGGTAAGGAATGAGAAGGATGGACTGGAAGTTTCAGGGAAATAGGGGGTGTGGGGACTGAAGGACTGATACACTTATCAGAGGATTCACCTGCTTTGGTATGGAGGATTCCAGGTGTGGCTTCCCTCAGGAAGGAGTAACTTTTCATCACCAACCGGATCTGGGTAGGAGTTGGGAGAGAATTATTAAATATTAAATATTAATTATTAAACACACACTAAACAAATATAAATTAATAAATGATTAATTAATATTTAATATTAAATTAATATAAAATAAATATACATTAAATAAATATTAAATATTAAAACTGGAGAGGGAGGTTAGTGCTTGAAGTCAACACATATTTACTAAATGCCTAATGTGTACAGGGCCCTGTGCTAGGTACAAGGGATATAAGTCTGAAAGAATAAAGGCAATGCACACATAGCACTTTCCTGTTTATAGCCATGACGACAATGCTGTGAAGTAGGTAGTAGGAGTATCGTCCCCATTTTGCAGATGAAGAAATTGAGGTCGAGAGAAGGGAAAGGAGTTGTCCAAAGTCACAAAAGGAATTAGTGGTTTAACCAAAACTAGAACCCAGGCTTTGTGATGCCCAGCTGAGTGCTTCCCACGAGGGAGGGAAGGTTGGCCGGGGAGTAGCATTCTCTGGTATTAAATGTCAGCGTCAAAACCTCCTTGTGTGCAAGTGTTGGAGTTGAAGTAACCCTTAGATTTCATGGCTGGAAAGAACATTGGAGACATCTAGTGCAATCTACTCAAGGGAGAAGTGACTTGCTCTGTCCTAGGTCACACAGGTGGTAAGTTAACGCATCTCATGCTGGGTCCACCTCTCCTTAGAAGCAGCCTTTGGTGCAGTAGCCCACAGTCAGGAAGACCTGAGTTCAAATCGGGCCTCAGACAAGTCCTAGCTGTGTGACTCTGGGCAAATCGCTTGTTTGCTTCAGTTTCCTCAACTGTAAAATGAGGATATTCAAAGCACCTACCTCATACGGATGTTGTGAGGATCAAATGAGATCATATTTGAAGTTAGGGCAGTGCTTGGCACATAGTAGGGGCTCTCTATAAATTTTTATTCTATTTCCCTTCCCTACTTGCATGGGCACCATTTTTATGCACTTATCTGCCAGTCTCTAGCCATAGCCTCTTAATCAATCTTCCTGCCTCAAATCATTCTTCTTTCTAGTCCTTCCGCCTCATAGAGGCCAAAGTGATTTTCCCTATGGTTCAATCTGACCATGGCGCCTCCACAATCTAACATAAGCTTCTCTCTCTGGCTTTTCTTATAGCCTCCACAACCTGGTCCCAATCTTTCTTTCCAACCTATTTAAATATTACTCTTCTTCCTGTCCTCTGGAACCTGGCCTGATTGGCTTTTCTGCTGTTCTTCATAAAGTACACTCCATCACCATCTCTGGCTCTTTGTACTGGCCGTCCCCCTTGACTGGAAAGCACTCCCACCACACCTCGGTCTCTCAGAGACTCCTTGTTTTCTTCTACGTGAAATCTTTTCTGGTCCTCACAGATACTGCTGCCCTCTCCCCCAAAAACTAGCCTTGATTTATTTTATATGTACCTATTGATACACATATTTCCACCCTTCCCCTTCACCCCATGTAAGCTTCTTGAGGAAAGGGACTGTTTGGCTCTGGCACCTAGGATAGTGCCTAGAACATAGCGGTCCCTTAATAAATAATGATTGATTAATAGATTGATTTAAACCCAAGTCCCCTGACACTAAATATAAGGTGCTCTCCACTTCACTGCACTGTTTTAAGCTCATTCTGTGCCTCATAGTACCTAAAACAATCAATGATCCTTGGGGAGGTCAGAGGCTGAAGATGGTAGAGTATAGCAGGTCAGAACAGGGTTCTCCCTAGTCCTACCTGATCATTCAGTAGGCAGCCTCCAGTGTCCCTGGACTGGTTGGGCCACCTTTGAGTTGATTTCTTTGGAAGAGACTTCAGTCTGACCCCACTTTCATTATTCTTCCTCCTCTTTCTCAAGGTTGGCCCCATCCCTTGCAGATTTAACTGTCCCTATGGAACCTTACCCACCCGTCTGAGTTTCCCCCACTCCACCTCCTTATGTCCCAGGTTCAGCCCCTACCTGCTCAAAGACTAGGATACAGCGGGAGCCAGGAGACAGCTGGTACTGCAGGGTCATGTGGACTGGGAGGACACCCAACACCATCATTTGGATGGCTAGAAGCCCTGCCCCCAGCCCTGCCCCTGCATACCAGGTCCCCTGGCCTCTGGGTCTAGCCCATAGCCAAAGAGCCTGGTATGGGGCTAGGAGTGTGCACAGGAACATGGGCAGCCAGGACATCAGGGCCAGGGGCAGCTGTCCGAAGCTGAAGGCCAGTAGGTCAAACTGTAGCACCAGCCTTGGGGTAGAAAGAGGAGATTCAGGGAGGGTACACTCTAGTCAACTGTCATCCTTGATTTTCTCCTTTTCATATTGCCCTGATGGGACCTGAACCCCAGCGAAGCCCTTAGACTTGCCCCATCATTCTGACCCTACTTGGACTACATGAAATACTGTGTTTCATAGCCCCACCCTCCCCCTTAGTGCCATTGATTATTTCTCATTTATCTTGTACATAGTTCTTTGTATGCTGTCACCCCCATTAGATTGAAAACTCCTTGAGGGAAGGGACTGTCTTTGGACTTTATTTTTATCTCTATCACTTAGCACAGTGGCTGGCACATAGTAGGTAATTAACAAAAACCTATGGACTGACTGACTTAAGCAGGGTCTCTTGGGTGAGGTGGAATTTCCCGGAGGACACTTTAGAAATGATCTATCCAGATGGCATGGGTATTTTTTATCCTCTCCCTGAAATCCCCTGGCCTAGATATTAATGTTCCTAATGATACCAGATATAAGGCTTTTAGGCCTACTGTTTTCCTTATACCGACTCTTTAGTGAAAATATTATTCTACCCATTTGGGAAATCACATTTAGAAAAGTAAGTGTCTGAACTGGAATTTCAACCCAGGCCTCCTGACTTCAGTCATATTGCCCAAGGTTTGGGGTTCTTACCTACCCATCTCCCCAACCTAATTAGCTTTTGTGTTCTCTCTCTCCAGGGATAACACATAGAAAACTTGAAAACAGAATGGAACACATCTGGGCGAGGGAGCTGCCTAAAGAAGGGTTAAGATGATTGGTGTTGGAGGTGTGTGTGGGGGGGCTATTACCATGGTGCAGATTGTGGTACCCAGAACACCCATACCTTCCTTCATCAATGAAGTCTATGGCCAGTGTGTTGATGATGAAGACACATAGTCCCGCAACAAAAATGTGATAAATGGTTCGAAAATGCTTAATTTCCATCAGTTCGCTGGAAGGACCAGAGTTGAGTGAGGTTAAGAAGTTCAGTCATTGGTCTGTCCAAACCCTTTTCTGATTCACTCGTATCTCATCTTGCGATCCCTTCCTCCCCGTCCCCTCCTGGGGGATATACGGAAAAACCTTTAAGACTTAGAGCATCTTCCCTGCTCCACCCAAGTCTGGAGGTCAGGATTCCTGGTTCCCATCTGCACTCATCCCTTCCCCTACCCCTAACTACTGCCTTTACCCTGACTCACTCGAGCAGTGACTTGCGATGGATGAAAACTTTCTGTCTTTCCAGATTTGGTTCTCGGGTTCTGAATGGAGATGGAGAACAGAGAAATTCCAGAGAATAGGGGCAGTACCAGGAGACAGAAGCAAGAAAACTCAGGAGACATTCATTGCCAAGTTGGGGAAAAGGGCTGGTGGGGAGATGTTGAATGTCCCAGAATGGAAGGGCTCCTGCTGCTCACCTTCTGGTCCTTACCTTTTTGGGGATTCCTGGCAGGCTGAGGCTGGGCCCCAGCCTTGAGTTGTGCAGGACTGAGCAGTTTCCCAAATGGCCCTATCAAACAGCTTAGTCAGCTGCTGGTGGGCTTGCTCCAGCAACTCGATCTTCACAGCCTGAGGGACTTAGAACCAGAGTAAGCAGACCACCCCAAGAGCCCTTCATTTCCTACTCTTGGACCTTCACTGGCTTCTGATTCCTTATAGCCTGATTCTGGACCTCCATCCTTGCCCCTCTTCCCACTTCTTGACCCTGTGATCCAAACTACAGGGTTACTTAACCCCACCTCCTTACTGACCTTTGACCCACGACTGATTTTTAATCCTAAAATAAGACTTTCACGTCTAACCCAGTCTTCATCATTTCCCTCTCACCTCAGGATCTGTCCAACTGGGCCTCTGACTCTGGGACTTTGTCTCTGACCTCTAACACAGTCCCACTCCAGCCCACTCACCTCCATATGCCTTGTCAATTGCACCAGGTCAGGAATTCCATGTTCTTTGGTACTTTCTAGGAGAGAGAGGGCCGTTGGCCACATCCAAGAGGTAGGAAGTATCTGGGCTGTATTGTCTTTGACCCTAGGAAGGCCTCAGTCACCTATACTGAGACCTTTTAGAATTACTGATCCTTATGTCCCTTGCCCTCTCTCTCACTCTGCCACCTCCCCTCCCCAACTTCCCTTTCATAAGGAGTTCGGGGCCAGTGACAAAGATGGAATCAGATTATTTAGGCAAAGATTCCAATATTAGATCTCTCAGGCAGACAAGGTCTGAAACGATAGACTCCATCTAGAACCTCCTGTTCTTCCAGTATAGGGAAAAGGACTGAGGTGAGCTAAGGCCTTTTCAACAATACATTGCCCACTCCTTCCCTGTCCTCCCCTCCCCCCTGCCCCCACACCTCTGCCTGCCTCCATTCACTGTCCCTGACAGGTCTTCCTCTACTCTCTTGGGACTCACCGTTGATGGGGGAGTTGTTTGCTTGCTTCTCTCTCCGCCCCTGTCTCCTCCGAAGCTGGGTCCCAGTTGGCTCCATGATGTGTGTGAGTAGATAACTGGCTCCCCTCACAGTACCTGCCCCAGGCAGTGCCTGTGCACTGTGTGACTAGTGTGGACTGAAGTCCTCTTTGGAGGAAAGGGCCTGCTAGGCTCTTGATAAGATTATCTTATGAGGATTAGGGTTCCTAAGAGTGAACTTTGCACCTGTCAGAGGGATCTAGGAGCACACCTCCCCAGTTCCAGTTGAGCTTCCTGTCTCCTCCAATTCACTCCGCCCCTCTATAGGTCATTCACTGACAACGATAGCTGTGCTGGTTGCACAGGGCTTTGCCTATCTCGAACCTTTATCATTCTAATACCTCTCAGCTGCCTCCCACACAGAAGACTAAAGGTCAAGAAAAGATGGGGAGTCAGTTTGTGTTCTTAGGAGGCCAATGCCTATCTCCTTGCTGACTCATGACATCCTAGATGTATCAACTCCCCGCTAGGTTCTGTGGCACTAGAAACCCTGAAGATGATACCAGTATTTGGATAATCTCTAGGGAAGAGATTATTGCCCACTCCCACCCACTCAAACAAGTTAAAAGAAGCTACCAAGCTTCTTTTTAAGCACCTGCCAGGGTCTCTGAGGGTTCAGGTGCCACTTTCCCTGAGATACACCTGGAGGAATGACTTCATTTTTATTATGTTTCTTCCGGAGTCGGAGGTAGGGGAGGTGGTTCTAGAGATTAACTATTAACCTTTTTCTTTTCCCATGGTATTCAGAGATCAGTGTCAGGGACAAAGTCCCCAAAGCAGGACAGAGAACGACAGAAGGCAGGCATTATTCTTCCCTCTGTCCCCATCTCTCTCTGCACTGTGGATGGGAGATGTGGTTGGTTTGGAACATCATCAACCAAAGGACTTCCAAATATCTCAGAAAGGATGGAGATTAAGCAACAGGAAGGGTCTAATGACTGGCTTGGGGATGGGGTAGTAAGAAATTGGAGAGTGAGCTGGAATGAAGATAGAATAAGTCAGGGGCTTCAGGTATGTGTGTGAGGAGGGAGAGGGGCAGGGGAAGGAGGTAATCACACATAGACACCAAGACCCCAACTCAGCTTTATTAACAACCCAACCCAACACCAACAGCCTTCCCAACTATCACATAGTTGAGTTACTGACACACACAGCCCAGCTTGAGGAAGGATCAGGGGGAGATGGAGATGCTGGGGGAAGAGGAGGGGGAAGCCAGGGCTCTTCTACCTTGAGTTCTTCATCACTCAATAAATAGCCCACGATGGCACCCCTTTCCAGACCAGCTCCATCAGTGGCCCCAGCTCCTCTTCCCTGCCTCTGCCTCAACCACTGGGGTCAGAAAGACAGTTGGAGTTTGCATCCGATTCAGTGGGGCCAGTCAGGGGTTGTCCCATTCGGGTTACACACCAACATGGTCCCCTTCGCAGCCCCTGAGATGACCGACACTGGGTAGAAACACAGAGATGGAAGTGAATGGGTCTCACATCTACAGGGGAAGCCGGCAGGAGCTGATTGTCAGTAAGTCAATGGGGGTGGGGGATTTGGGGAAGGAGATGCTAGACTCCTGGCTCCTATTTCAGGCTTTCAAGTGAGACACAGGGCAGATCTGTGAATGGGTATATATATCTGAGATGCCCCCGGATTCTTAGCCTTGACCCACTTATGCATGACCTCTGTTCTTCCAACTCTTGCCTTACAGTCTTCCTCTCACTATCCAAATTCTGCCTGTCCTTTGGGACCTAGCTTAAATCCCTTGACCATTCTGATCTCCCAGTGACAGTCCCCTCCTTCCTACTGTTAATGCCTTCACTAGTCACTCGGTAATTAATCAATACTGCCTTAAATTGTTAGTTCTCTTTTCATACCCTATACATCTTATACACACATATGTACGTATATATATATGTATATACACACACACACACATATATGTGAATGTGTGTGTGTGTGTGTAAATCTCCTATCTCCCCAACTAATTGATAAGCTCCTTGGGAGCAGCCACTGTGCCTTGTTTTTTTATCATATGCCCCCTGAGCACTTCATGCCATACCTTGCATGAAAAGTAACAGGAGCTCAATAGATGTCTATGGGCTAATGGAAGGATGTAGGGAAGGGGATGAAAGCGTGTCCTCACCTGCCGCTTCCTGTAGAAGCCTTTGTGGTCACAGTTGGGCACATAAAGAGTCCGGGCCCCACGGTAGACTTCAGCCTGGAGTTGCTGTAACACTGTTTCTAGGTGGCGGCGGCATGGACCCTGGGGGAACATGGCCAGTGTGATTGGGGTGGGGGGAAGAGAAAAGGATTCTTAGAACCAGAGGTCATATCCCCTCTCCTCCCTGACACCCCTGGGTAGGGGGGTGGCTGCAGGCTTGGCTGCCCTCTCTCCCTTCTGTCATGTGCCACTCTGGCATGGATAGGGGCTCATCCCTTACCAATGAAGAAAGAATTAGCCAAGCAAGTCTCTGAAAGGAGGTTTACCTCCACCCTTGAAGTTTATTCCATTATGGGTTAAGGGGCTGGACCCTTCAGAGCTGACAGATGACCCACGGAGCCCTCCCCTAAGAGGCAGATTCAGAGGTGCTTATTCCCAAGGTCTTTCTCTCTATCTTTCTTTTCATCATTACTTTCCCCCCAAATGAATGTTGTCATCAACCCGCCCCACCCGTTGTGATCCCCCTTGCCCACCATCTCACTGTCTTGTCCACCCCCAGGACTGGGTCGAGAAGGAGTAGAAGGGGTGCCCAAGTTCTTCTCTCGACCTCCACGGTTCACATCCTGCTGTTGGGGGCCCCCTGGGCTGGGCTTCGTTCCCTTAGGACTCTCCGCTGTGGACAGACATGGTGGAGCGTGAGGACAGGAGATCTATAATCAGGATGGGAGGTGAGAGGAGGGCCCTTCCTCCCCGATTGGGAAAAGAGATGGAGACCCCTATTCCTCAGCTCCTTCCCAAGTGGGAAGAAGAAAAAGGCTTTAGGTTGAGTGGGGGAGAGCCCAAGTTTTAGAGCCAGAGATGCCAGGTCCTAATACCTCTCTGGGTTTTAATTTCTTCATATTAGGCTGCAGTGAGGGGGAAATAGATGTGAACCGATTTTGAAAAATGTAAAGCGCTATAGTAAAAATGTGAGAGATTGTTATTATTTTTGTATGTCTGACTTAATCAGGAACTTTTCCCACTCCAACTAATTTCTTAATGGACATTCCACAAATGGCCAGATGGGGGAGTCCCAAGCCCAGGAACTGATGGGATGCAGGACGGCGGGGGGAGAGAGGAGGGGGTCAGCAGGGACAGAAAAGGAATGTGTGTCCCCTTCCTGACCCTGCTTGTGACTCACCCCTACCCCTCCCGGTGCCTGAGGTTTGGTTACTCTCAGAGAAATCCAGCAGGGGATGGGGGAGGGGTCCCTGTTGGATCTCTTTCTGGTCCTTTAGCCAGGTCCTGAGAAGGAAGAAGGGTGCGGTAGTTCTTGGATGGGTATAGTGGGGACCATTAGGAAGGAGTGCACAGAGTACCTTTTGATCTATAGACTTGTTTCTCACCATTGAGAAGGATCCAGGCAAGGGAGTTGGTGGGAAGGGATTTGGGGGATGGGGGACAGGATATTCAAGATGGTGGGGGGCAGCATTGGAGCACTGGGCAACAGAGGACAAAGTGAGAGGTGACTGTGTACTTCTTGGAACTTTTCCCAGGTAAAAGAATAATAATCAGTTATACCTCCTCACTCGCTCTAAAAGGTCTATGTCCCTCTTGCCCCAAAGACAAAATCTATTTCTCTTCTCTGACCTTTTCTCCGTCTCTCTGTGGCCAATGAGAAAGTCTCTTGTGTAACATTATCTTTTTCTACTTCCACTGGCTTTAATCTGTAAATCTTTCTTTGTAAACCCCAAAGCTCTCGAACCGTATAACGTTAGTGTTTGGCAAACAGCAGCCTCTCTTTCTACCTCCTTGGAATCCAAATATACCAAACAACTAACCTCAATCCAAGTCATGCAGTCAATTCTGGATTGAACCTGGACATCCCAGACCTAACCAGTTTGTATCATGAAGTAATTGCAAGCTTTGTCCTAACACCCACTATAAGCTCATATGTACTTGGGGTGAGGTGAGGGTTCCTTATCTTCTTCACCACTTTCTTGTCCCTCCAATTTTCTTGGGTTGACGCAATCCCTTGACAACCTGGTGATAGCGCTGCCCATATCCTTCCCGAGTGTTTTCTTCTATCCCTTTCCCTTTGATGTCCATCCAGTCCCTACCCCTAATGCCGCTTCAAGTTCTGACTCAATTCTGCTGTCTTCATAACCTGGTGGCCCCTACCTTTCCAGTCTTCTCAAACTTCACTTATTTACTTTGATCCTGACACTGACCTTTGCTGTTCCTTGAACAAGATATTCCATGTTCTGGCACTGGGCATTTCCACTGACACTCCCCCGGGCCTGGAATTCTGCCCCTCTTCACTTCTATCTCCTGACTTTCCTAGGTTTCTTTAAATCTTGGTTAAAATCTCCCCTTCTCCAAGAAGCCTTCCTGATCTCCCTTAATACTAGTGCCTTCCCTCAGTTGATTATCTCCTATTTATCTTGTTTTTATCTTGTTTGTACTGTTTTCACGTTGTTGCCCTGGATAACCCAAGCCTTTCTTTGTATCCGCAATACCTAGCACAGTGCCTGGCATCTAGTAAGCATTTAAAAAATGCTTGTAGACTGACTGACCTTCCCTGTCCAATGCTATTAGGTAGGGCTAACAGGATCAGGGAAACCTGCAGGCTGAGTTTACTCTCCATGCCATTTCCAAGTGTGTTTCCCTGGAAATAGAGGGACTGCTATCCTGATTCTTCTTTTCTTCCAGACCAAGGGTGACTGACTGCACAGGGAATAGGGGAAGAAGAACATTTATGAATATAGTGGGTATTTTTTGTGTTCCTAGCTCTTCCTCTCCATCCCAGAGATGTGGAAAGTGGGAGGCAGGAATTTTGGTCCATTCCCTGGTTCCTGAGCCTTGAGCAACAAGAGCTGGACATATTGGGCCGGGATAGTATAGTTAGGCTCCCTGCCACCCCAATTTCCCAGTGAAACAAGAGGAAAGGAATATGAGGGCTTGTGAATCTAAAGAGGCATGGTGAAATAGTGGATAGATAAAGAGTGTTGGAGTTCAGTCATGGAAGACCTGGGTTCAGATTCCTTCTCTTGCACTTACTTGCCATCTGACTGACTAGGCAAGTCACAACTTTTTTTGGGGGGGGGGGTCCTCTGGCAACATCCTAGGACTTGGGAATTCTGACACCAGGAGTTCCTTCATGATAAACAAATCAAAATCCTGTATGTATTCCAAAATCTCTTCTGGGCCCCCAGACCTTCAGATTCTTTCTCCCCTCCCCGCTTAGCCCATGAGGACAATTGAGTGGTAGAATATTGTAGGCAACGGTAGCTAGGTGCAGGGACTCTGCCTTTTCTAGTTGTAATCTCCACCTCTGCCCCCCACCTTAGCTACACCTCCCTAGAGGCTCCCCTTTGTACTTAGTTCACCAGCACTCAACCTGGAACGAGGGAATGCTGGTTGGTAGGGAGAGACTCCAGAGGCCAGGAGGATGGGTGCAAAGACAATGAATAGAGCTAAGAATGAGGGGATAGAGTTGGGGGGGTGGAGAGACTCACAATTCTGAGGGGAACCAGTCTCTCTCTAGCCCTCCTTTGGGAGCTGGGCTCACCCAGGCACCTGGAAGGAGGTGGGGACGGGCTTTGGAACTCACCTGATGGCCCCCTGGACCTTCGGCAGCGACCCCGGCCAAGCAGCAATGCTCGGAGTGGTGTCTCATCATCTTCTGGGGGATGGCATTGTAGCCCTGGGCCACAGTTAGGGGTGTAGACCCCGCATAGTTCCCCTTCCCGCCTGACGCACCCTCCGGCCTCTGCACACCCTTCTGGCTGCGGCTGCACTACCCCTTCCTCCTCCTCCAAGCAGCCCCCAGGGCAGCCCGCCGGCGCCCCCT